AATTTGGGGCAGCTTTTACAAGGTTTCTTGTGAAAGAGTACTCCCTTCTGTCAGAGCAGCAAAGTACAGTCTTTAATAATTAGTTCTGTTGTTAGTGGCAAGGGTGCTTGGGAGAGAAATTCTGAGACCTCTGTTATTTTGGTTTACGTTGTCTTATGACCTCACATGGTTCATAAGTATAACAAAATACCCAAGGCAGGCTATTTTATAAAGGAGAGTGGCTCCTTTAGCTCACAATTTTGGAGGCTGAAAGTCCAAACAGCAACGCCCAGCTTCTGAGAAGTGTCTCCTTGGCCACATCACATCATGGTGGGAATGTGTCTGTGCGGTCTCTCTCCTCCTTATAAAGTCAGCAAGATTCAATCGTGGGGGCTCCAAGCTAATGAGCTCATTTAATCTAATCACTCTCCAAATGCCCTACCTCTAAACACCTTGGTCAAATTAAGTTTCTACCATATTAATACAGTGGACTCTCAAGTTATGACCAGCCTGACATATGAAAAACTTGGGTTAATTAGGTTAATGGAAGATTCATTTCCTTCTTGTTATCTATAGGGTGTACCCAGGTAAACATCCAGATCTCAGCTGTATTGAATTACAACTAACTTGAATTACAACCAGCCCTCAGGAACTGATTGAGTTTGTAAGTCAAGGGTCCATGGTACTATCAACATAAACTTTGAGATTTAATTCTGTAGCAGTTTGAGAGAACAACCATATTTAAGATAGCACCATATTTCCCCTTTTTTCTTTCCCCCTTGCTTTCCAATCTACAAACTCTCATTTGTTATGGTGAAACTATTTCTATTTTTAAATTAATAATTTTTTACAACAGTTTTGGGTTTACAGAAAACTTGAGCAGAAAATAGTTCCCATATACGTACCCTCCCCCGCAGGCAGTTTCCCCTCTTATTAAAATGTTCTAATAGTGTAGTACAATTGTTACAATTATGGTGCCAATTCTGGTATGTTACTACTAAGCCCATGAGTTTTGACTAGTGCAGAATGTTCTGTATCCACCACTACAGTATCACAAACAAAAGTTTCACTGCCCTAAAAATTCTTTGTGGATCATGTAGCATGTAGCAATTTCAGACACGCTTCTTTCATTTAGCAGTTTAAGTTTCCTTTATGTCTTATTGTAGGTTGGTAACTTATTTTTATCAATGAATATTTTCCATTGTATGGTTATAGCCATCTGTTTATTCACTTATTGGAGGATATTTTGGTCATTTCTAAATTTTGGCAATTACGAATAAAACTATTGTTATGGTTTAGATCTAAAATGTCCCCCCAGTCTCATGCGTTTGAATGGTGATGGATCATAGAGGCACTGTACTCACCCGGGGATTCATCCACGGATGATTTCAGTAGCTGAATGTGCTGTTAGGAGATGAGGCCTGGGTAGAGGTGGAGCACTGCGGGCAGGGCCTAGAAGGGTGGACTCTTGTCCCTGGCTCCTCTCATCTCTCTGCTTCCTAGCTGTCATGGGTTGCCTCTATTCTTATATTTTGCTGAATCCATTTTCCATTACAAATTTTATTTTTATTAAAAATAAATTGAGGGGCCGGGGATTTAGCTCAGTAGTTCCACCACCTGCCTCGTAAGCACAAGGTCCTGAATTCGATCCCCAGTACCAAAAATAAATAAATAAATAGAATGCAGGCACTATTTTGCTTATATAAATTATTCAGTTGCTTCCATCAACTGCAGTGATTTTTCAAAACATATTCCTAGAAGACTCAAGACTCAACAGAACTGCCTGTCTCCAAGGTTAAGGCAGAAGCTAGATGTGTTCGTTAATCCTGTTCTTCAATCTTCAATTCAGTTGCTTAGTGTGTAAACTTAGTTGTAAATTCAGTTGCTTAGTGCTTATGTGTGTAAACTTTTATCAAAAAGACTTCTAAAAGTTGCTGGGCAGAGTGATGCGCACCTGTAATCCAGGACTCAGGAAGCTGAGGCAGGAGGATTGCTATGAGTTCGAGGCCAACCTGGGCTACATAGTGAGTTCAAGGTCAGCTTGAACTACATAGTGAGACCCTGTCTCAAAACACAAGATTTCCAAAAGAAAGTTCTTCATGATGTTGCTTGTAGATCTCTATTCAGATTTAATTTACTATTGTCACTATTCAAAAGCATTAACAAGTCATTGAGTCATCTGCTCAAATAGAAAATCTCATACCTTTATTCTTTAGTTATTTCTTGTATTTGTAATGCTACTTTCTCATGTCTTAGGAAAATTCCAAAATGACTTTTAGAGATAACAAAAACCTGATTACACAGGCAGCTCCTTGATCCCCTGTCCTTACAGTACTTTGTATACTCCATCACAACCTCCATCACTTATTTTTTCATTATTTAAAAATGTATTTTGTGTGTGCGTTTACATTCCTTGTGTGGAGCTGGGACATGTCCACAGCACATCCTAATTCCTTGTTACTCCCTCCCCTTCCCTCCCTCTCTGCACTTCTCTATCCCCATCCCATCTGAGACTATATTCCTACTTCCTATTACCTTTTAATTTGCTCTTTATATTTTTTGATCTTGCACAAGTAACCTCTCTAGGGCATTGTTTTCCTCATCTTCAAAATGGAGACAAATGTAATACCTAGTTCACACGTGAGAGGGTTAAATGCAGTAATACACAAAAGGGCTTAGAAGAGTGCCTGACATACTAGACTTAATCAAATGTTAGATATAACTATTACTAGTAATATTACCACTGCCACTACTCAGCTACACGGGTTGACTAAACTACGCGCTGAAAGGGCTTATTGCTGTAGGTAGTAGAGTTCATAGTAAGAACTCAAAAGTTGGAACTGATCTACATTCTCCAATATGCAGTATGAATATTGTTATTTAATATTATCCTCAGGTAGAAATTATTTGTTCTTTAGTGCCTTCAAGCTACTTCTTTTTATAAGAGATGTTATTTAATGTCACTTTTAATTTCATGAGTATACTTTTGGCAGCAAATTAAAACAAATTAAGTCTATTATCTGATGTATTGAGATGTTAGAGGCAATCTTCTGTTACCTAATGTTTCAACAGACTTATTTAACTGGAACAGATGATGGTTAATTTTATGTCAAATTGCCCAGGCCACAGTTCCCAAGGATGTGGTCAAATATTACTCTGGATATTTCTGTGAGGGTATTTGTGAATGAGATTCACATTAAAATTAGTAGACTGAAAAAACATTGCCCTTCCTAACATGGATGGACTTATCTGGAGAAGACTAATTCACCCATCTACAGAAAATAGATATGAAATTAAGTTATAGATTAATCTATAATCATTTAAACTAAAAAAAAATCTTTATTTGGAAAGTTTGGAATTAAATATATTTAAAAATATGTACGTATATATACATTTAATTAGAGAAATGAATTATATGATATATAAATATATGCACAAAATTATATACTGGAGGTTTAAGAATCTCTGAACTCTCTTTTCCCTTTCCTTTTATTCTCTTTTGATAACATCTTACTTCTAAACGAAGAGTAAGAAAACAAAAACGGAAGAAACTATTGGAATTTTATTTTAAATTTCTAAATTATGTTTCATATGCTTGACTCATAAACTAAATCATGTATATGAATACAAAAATGAATGTAGGTGCTTTAAACATGAACAAAATTCTGCTACTATATATCTGTCTCTATATCTATATATCTTTATATACATATATACATATATATAGATATATACATCTATATATATATACATATAGATATAGAGATAGATATATAGCCAAATTTCCTATTTTTACAACACTGAAAAACTAAGTAAGAAAGTACATAGGAAAATATAATGATTTCAGTGTTCTCTTTTCAAATATATGGCTTTGAATGGAGGTTACTTAAGTGTTCACATGACTTTAAAAATCCAGATACAATGCAGTCAATAGATTTATATGAATTGTAACAGTTTATTCACTGTGACTCATAGAAGCTCCATGAAGGCTCATCAATTTAAGAATCTCTTCGGTTTAGAATCACAACCAAATTTTCAGCACTTGGTCAAAGAATCCTGAAAATGCCAGGACAGGGAGGAATGGGTAGGTGCCAGTAATCCACGAGGAGGTGTCCTTCAGATAAGGACAATCTTCACTAAGCAAGTAGTAGCTCACTTTTATCAAAGAGAAGTCTTTATTGCTGAGGGCACTGGGTCTCTGGAGTTGATTTGGAGGACACATATAGAATAGGATGTGATTTCTTACAAGATTCCTTTTCCAGTTTGCTTGTAGTTTCTCTCCTTTCTTTGGCTTCTGTCTGAAGCTTTGCTTCAGCAGCTAACCTATAGGCATCAAAGCATCCACTCTGAATTCAAATGAGGTTAAGAAAAACTAAGGAAGACACAAACCCAGATAGGATGGTGGCATACTGATACTTTTTAAAAAGTGTACAAGGAAAAAAATTAGAGCTAATTCCAATACCAGGAAGAATACTAAATGACTGCCTCTGTAAAAGAATTTTTGTATCAATAGCTCAATTTTTAAAAATGGCTAACAAATATCTTTAAGGTTGATAAAAAGGCCGGGAAAGGCCTAAATTTAAAAATTATAAACAATGTGATACCTAATGATGAGAAGCACATATAACAAAAAAATTAAAATGCTAGAATAATATTTTAAAGTTAGCATGACATACAATAGGCTAAGCACAAGATAAAATAACATGGAATCTTGGGCTGCATGAGTAGATGTCTATTCGTCTTATACAAAGGAAAAAAACACCTCAAATTTACTTTCAACTAGCAGAATTAAAAAAGAAAAAATAAACAGTGGCCGAGATATATAAAAAGACTTGTAACAATTGTTTTTATAGCAAGAGTACCAACTAAATTTATAAAACACACAATAATGAAGTTCCCAATAAAACCCAACTTTATTGTTACAAAATCACTTCAGATTGTGTGTCTAAGTTAAGCATGCAGAAAACAAAAGGTTGGAAATGTCTTAGGTTAGCAGAGGGACTCACACACACACAAAAATATCTGTTTTGTGGTATTTTATTTGCTTTTGCTTAAATAGCAAGACAAAAATTTTCCAATATGTGATTTAATTTGAATCAAACAATTAGCTACGTACAGGTTTTTCAAGTTAAAAAGCACAGAAAAAGAAATAAAAGGAACAGAGATAGCAAGAGCTACAGTGATTGATTCTGGAAACCCACTTTCAGAAATATGCACACATCAAACACACTTACAAAAGTGCATCACATACAAACAAGTATAAACTGAGTTCATTTCAGGACGATGTGGAACCAACCATGCGTGCATGTCACAGATCATCCATTTGAAGTTACTTTCCCTAATAATATCAACCTTTTCCTTATGTGACTTATGGGTTATAACATTATATAAAAATTCAAGGAAAGGAATAATAGGCTTCCTAATAATAATAATAGCTAATATTGTTTGCTCATTGTTGAGTACTACATTTAGCAGCACTGAAGACTAAAAGAAAAATCTGACAAAACATAAGGAAGTACTTTTATGCAAAGTGTCTGTGCCTTATTTCAATCAAATGCACACTGGTTAATGTGATTCTGTACCCCTCTCTCTAAGGCTGATATAGCCCGAGCAGCAACTTAAAACATCTCATTTTTGGTTTTTTCCAGGAGACAGTCTAAGTTAACTATTGACAGATCAATAGATGTAATTTTAAGTGGCTAAACAGGTTTATTTTAAATACACTGATGATTGCATTACATGCAAACATCCTTCATCTTTTTAAAAAAATGCTTGCCCTGTCTATTTTCCCATCCTTCTTTGCTCTTTGATCCTTCTATGTATCCAGAACACTAGCTTCAGCCAGTTCCCTATCCTTCCCTCCATTCGCTTTCTCTTACTTTCTTACCTCTATTATTTTTATTTTTTTAAAGGACAAAGCCCTCCAAACAATAATTCAGATACACATGTCTGGCACTTCCTCTTTTAGTCACTAACTCCATTTTGCAGAAACTAGAGGCTCTGAAGTTCAAAAAAATGAAAATAAATTAGCTTTGATATTAAAAAAAGTCAAAATAGGTATCAAAGCCCATTTCTGAAGGCTTAGTATAAACAACATCAAAAGCCATAACAAATTTCACCTACATTTTCTAAGCAAAACATCTTAGACTACTGGAAAGCCCTCCAAGAAGGTAAGCTAATTATTCTTTCATGGCTACTATTGAACCACGAGAAAAATAATAGTACATTTATTCAAACCATTGAAATACTCAGACAGGTATTAGACTATGATATTTCCATTCCATAAAACAAAAAAGCCTAACTTTTTAATATGGTTCCCTTATTCAGGAGTCTTTTCCCCTTGCAATCATTTTAGTCTTTCTTAAAGTTCTGGAAAAGTTGAAGGTGGGCAGATGAAACTGGGGAATTACACTGCATGCAACGCTAAGGAGATAGATGAAGAAACAAACAGCATAGTTCATGCAGCGAGAGAGAAGAGGTGGAGAGGTCGGCCGGCTGCCTTGAGGAAAAGAGGACACTGACCTGGGAGAGCGAAGCGTATTTCCACTTCTTTCGCTTAAGGCCTCAGCGTCAGCTGGAACATCTATGAGCTTCACACATTTCTTTTCTTTCTTCAGCTGTATATCCATGGGAAGATTTTTGTGAGGAGAAAAAGAGGCTATGGGAGTGTTGGTAGAAATCGGTTTTTCTAACTGCAAGTTGGCATCTTCTAAATTATTAGGGCAGGACTGTGCCTTCTCTTTCTGAGGTGGGAATCTAGGAACTTCTTCCCCATCAGCATTGTTGGCACACACATCTTTAGGGATGGTTATATCCATAGGTAGCACCTCACGCCTCTTCTTAAGTACAGGCACTTCAGTTTTCTCTGAGAATAAAAAGTTTTCAAAAAATTCAGTCAATGAATAAAAACAAAGCCACAATTAAGGAAGAAGGAAGAAAAACAAGTTATATATAAACTATTTTCCTTTTTTCCATTCTCTTAAAATTCACTCATCTCCTTATGAAATAATTATTTCTTTTATCTAGCCCCCTCCCTCTCAAAATAGTGTTGTTAACAAAGAACTGGTTGAGAGGGCTTACCCTAAAATATGTTAACAACACTATTTTGAGAGGGAGGGGGCTAGAACCAGTATGCTTTTAGACATCTTTATATTTGGCCTTTTAGTTTTAAATTTATATACAGTAAAATTTACTCCTTGTAGTATAGGAGATGCAGAGGTGGTATGGTTGGGCTATTTTCTATCTCAGCAATTAGACTGGTTAGATGTTTCTTAAAGTTTTTCCTTTAAAATAATTTCTGAGAGAAAGGGTGAAACAAGAGGGTGAGGTAGGAATCTCCAATGACCATGCCTCTGTAGAAAGATCAATTTGAAAAATTACTACACACAAAGAAACAGGACAAGAGCTTCACCAGAGCTTAGAAAACCAGGACACGTAAGTGAGTCTGTGAAGACTCTTTTAAACTGCAAAGATCAGCAAAACTCAGGCTGGACTAAAAGGGGAAAGGTTTCTCTGACTGCAGCTCCCCTGTCCCTGAGCTGCTGTAGTATCACACATATAAAGCCCCAGAACTGTTTCTATACTGGGAAAAGTGAGTTGAGGCAGACATTTGGTTTCTTCACAATCCTAAGTCTCTGTAGGAGTCTTGTTCCTGCACAACCCCACAGGGAGCAGTGGTGCTGTTCACCTGAAGTCTGCTAGGAACAAGGAGGCACAGGGTTAAGGGTAGTTAGCACACAGAACTCAGCAGTGTGATTTCCACTTCTGCCAAAGGCGACCTTGCTCCAGACAGGCTACTTGGGGGCGCCATGTTGCTAAACGCATGGTCCACAGATCCTTTGGACTTGAGGGTCTGGATCATTCTCCCACATGGCTGAGCGTCCTTCTTGAATCACCTGTGGGGCTATCCAGGTCAGACACTGTGCCAGCAGTGGAGCCATCACAAAACAAAACTTGTCTCTAACCTGGACTCAGGGTGCCCTCTTATGCTGAAACAGAATATAACAGTCTGTTCAGAATTTCTAAACAAGTGCACTAAAACAGAACAGTCACAGACTCATACAGCAAAGAATGTAATAAATACATTCATCAACGTGTGGACAGAGATGCATGTCTACAAGGACTGAAGAGAGCCAAGGAAAGACGGTCTTACCAAATGGAAAAACATGGTGCCAATGGCAGGCCCAAAAGACATGGATATAAAGGATTTGGCAAAAAATTTTAAATAGCTGTTTTAAGAAAACTCAGTGAACCTCAAAAAAGCACAGGAAACTAATTCAGAAATCTTATCAGGGAAATTTAAGAGACTGAAACTATAATTAAAAATACTTAGAGCTTAAAAATACAATAAATAAAATAAGAAATACAACAGAGAACATTAACATCAGAATAATCAAGCAGGAGAATCAGTGAGCTTAGAGACAGGCTACTTGAAAATAGTCATAGGAGAAAAAATTTAAAAAGAATTTAAAGGAAGAAAATTTATGAGATCTATGAAACACCATCAAAAGAGCCAATCTATAGGGCCAGGGATTTAGCTCAGTGGTTTCACCACCTGCTGCGCAAGCGCAAGGACCCAAGTTCGATCCCCAGTACCAAAAAAAAAAAAGAGCCAATCTATGTCACTGGTGTCCAAGACCAGTTAGAGACTGAAAAAAAAGTAGGAGATTTATTCAAAGAAATAATAGCAGAAAGTTTCATAATTTTCCAAATCTGACAAAGATACAAATATCCAACTATGGGAAGTTTAAAGGTTACCAATCAGATTCAACTCAAATATGACAATGTCAAGACATCATAATCAAACTCACAGTCAGGGGCAAAGAAAGGATCCCGAAAACACCAAGAAAGAACAAGGGAACAACACACAGAAGGGAATTCCCATATGTTTGGCAGCACACCTATCAGCAGCGACCCACAGGTGATATATTCTAAGTGCTGAAGGGAAAAAGAAAATAACGGACAGCTGAAACCACTCCACCCATCAGATCTATTCTTTGAATTCAGAATCCTCCACCATGGCAATCATAGAATGTAAGCCACTATATGCCTAGTAGAAAGTTTAATAACTAAAATAATCTGTTAAGATACAGGTAATTTAAAAAGATGAAAAAATCTGACATCTAAAACTCCAAGATTTTTAAGCGCCGATTTTTATTATAGTCTTTTAAAATATACGCAAGAAATAGACACATAGATTTTTTTTTCTTTTTTTTGCATCAAAATCAAGTTCTTACGTTCAAAATAACTTGCTATGAGATATTCATTGCAAGTCTCTTGGTAATCACAAAGCAGAAACCTTAAATAGATACAATAAAATTAAAAAGGATGGAATCAAAACATGCTAATATGGAAAAATTACATAACCACAAAGAAAGACAGTAAGAAAGAAAAGAACAAAAGATTCACAAAACAACCAGAAAGCAACTAAGTACATGGCAGTTCCAAGGTATCAATAGTTACCTTGAACACAAATGGATTAAATTCTCCATTAAAAACCACAAGGTGGCTGAATGGATTAAGAAAAAAAATGCCAAGTACTGATTCTATGCTGGCTACGGGAGACTTCATCTGTAAGGGGACTCATAGACTAAAAGTGAATGAATGGAAAAAAGATATTCTGTCCAAATGGAAGCAGGAGGAGCTATGCTTGTATCTGATAAAATAGGCTTCAAATCAAAAGCTATAAAGAGACAAAGCCATTATGGAATGATAAAGGGGGTTGGCATAACCAGAGGATATACTGTAGAAATTATAAAGATATATGTGCCCAACAACAGATCACCTAAATATCTAATGCAAAAATGATGATGATTATTATTTTTTTGGTACTGGGGACTGAACTCAGGACCTTTGATTTGTGAGGCAAGTGTGGTGCCACTGAGCTAAATCCCCAGCCCTAACGCAAACATTATTAAACCTAAAGAGATGCACAGAAAGAAATAGCAGGGGAGTTCAACACTCCACTTCCAGCAAAGGAAGATCATTTAGACAGAAAATAAAGAAACATCAGATTGAATCTGGACTCTAGACAAAATGGAGCTAACAAAAATTTACAGAACATCTCACCCAACAGCTGCACATAGTTGCACATCATTCTTCTCAACTGCACACTGAAGATTCTTCAGCAAAGATAGGTTAGGCCACAAAACAAGTCTTAACAAATAAAATTACCAAAACTGAATTCATATCAAGAATCTTTTCTGACCACAATGAAATAAAACTAGAAACTGATAACCAGAGGAACATAGGAAAGTGTACAAAGGTACAAACACATGGAAATTAAACAACATGCTTATGAACAACCAATAGATCAATGAAAAAATTAAAAGAAATTTCAAATTTTCTTTCACAAATGAAAATGGAGACACAACATATAAAACCTCTAGGATACAGTAAAAAGCAGTATTAAAATAGAGAATATTTATAGCAACCAGTGCCTGCATCAAAAAAGATATCAATGTTGCATTTTTAGAAACCAGAAAAATAAGAAAAAAAACCCCACAAAATTAGAGGAAATAATAAAGATCAGAGCACAAATAATTGAAATAGAGACTAACAAAATATAAAAGAGATATGAAGAGTTTGTTTTCTGAAGACAGTCAACAAACCTTTAGCCAGATTTAGAAAATAAGATTCAAATAAAATCAGACATGAAATGTGAGACATGAGAACTGATATCACAGAAATACAAAAAATAAGAAACTAACATGAGCAAATATATACCAATGAATTGAAAAACCTGAAGAAAATAAATTCCTGGTACCTATATTCTAGCAAGACTGAATCAAGAAGAAAGAAGCTCTGAACAGTGATGAGTAATGAGATTTAAGCAGTGATAAAACTTCTTCCATCAAAGAAAAATCCGGGCCCCGATGGCTCTACTGCTGAATTTTACAAAATACCTAAAGAACTAACACTGATTTTCACAAAGTAAGTGAAAAAACTGAAAAAAGAATTCTTCCCAACTAATTCTATGAGGCTCAACCACTGGTGAAAAGCTGACAGTCTGTGGTTGCACCTCCTCTTCACGCTGTACCCTGCAAAGCTTGGTTTGCTAAGATCAAAAGGAAAAAAAGCCTTGGCCCTAAGATGTAAAAGGTCCCCAAAAAGACCCTTCCCTATTGTCCCTAGTAACGAGCTAAGTTAATCATTAACCAATCAAGTAGGGGCACCCTCAGCCCAGAGGCAAGATAGGTCCCAACTACTACAAAACCAACATCTTGAGCCCCCTTTCAACGGTGGCTCCATTTCAGGCAACCCTTCCTGTCTCTCTGAGAGAAGGCAGCTGTACTCTTGCATGCTTGCTGAATAAAAGTACAACTTTGCTTCTACGCTTTCAGTCTCTTATCTGATTCTTCCACAACCTTCTGCATCGTCGGGAGAGTCAGGCCTGGTACTGCAGGGACTCTCCACCTGTCTCCGCCTGTATCCTTTATATATCTCTATATATCTCCACCTGTCTCTGCCCGTGACAAAGCTATCCAAAAAGAATACTGACTACATTCACTCATAACTAGTAAACAGATCTCCAAATTTTCCTATACGTTTTGCAGCAGTAAATTTCCTTTAGCTATAGATACATGATCGTAAATTAGTTTGTAATGAGATTTGCAAAAATGTTTGATAAAAAAAGTTGATATAATTTAGCTACTTCAAGATTTAAAAGGGAATACATGAAATATACATACCTTCAGGTTCATACTTCAGCTTTAATTCATCTAGTTTAGCTCTCAGTTTCATATTTTCACTTTCTGAAAGCTGTAGGCATCTTTCATTTGCAAAAAGTTTTCGCTCAATATCCAGGGCTCGCTGGCTCTCAAATAATGCTTTCATTCGCTGTATAGACAATTCACCTTTGGTGCTTTCATTTTCTTTGCTACAATAGTAATAAAGGAGAACAAAGGAATATTAAAATAATATATAAATAAATGTAGCATTTTAAGTGTATACGGAAACACTTAAAAATAGTTCTCTAGGGTTTTTAGTAACAAAGAAACAATGTTTAACAATAGCATTGGAAAACAAATCCACGTATTCTTTAAAGGAAAAGGACAAAAGGAGAAAATATTCTTCTAAATTTATTCATACATAAATTTCTGTCAGTTTCAAATTATCTGATATTCTTAAAAATCTGGATTATAAGAACATTTTCCATATTAAAGTTCTCTCTACTAATCTATAAAGCTAAAAGCAAAGGAATAACAATTATTCACTGAAAGTCCTTTTTTCTTCAAAACAGTAACTAATATATTTTGCATAAAACGAAGAACATAATACACAAAGATAGTTTTATTGACTTTCTTTTTTGGAAATTTGGCAATTAAAGAAAAAAATTGTAGCCATTAATGCTATCTATTTTAAGCATGTGAAAAGTCTTCATCTTTCCATCTACCCACCCAGACACTTACTTTAAGTTATCAAGTTTTAGCTGAAGTAAATCTGTATAGAAGGTTTTGTCTTCTAGAACACCAGAACTGTCTGGCATGGAAGGCTTAGATTCCATACTTTCATATAAATTCTAAAGACAGCAAAAATTTTGTTATTTAAGGTACATAAAAAATTAGATTACTATGTATTTATTAATAGCAGCTACTATCTGTTAAACACTCACCATTTGGCAGGCATTCTGGTAAGGAGTCCCCACTAATTCATTTGCCTTCTGCAGTAAGTAAAACAATCAGCATTCCTTCCTTATAGTTAAGGAAAGTGGATCCAGGTGCCACAGGCAAGTAAACAAGAGAAAAGATAATCTGAACCCATGTCTAACTCTAGAGCTGTGCTTTCAGTCACACCTAGATCTTATGGGTTTCTCCTCTTGGCTTTAAGAATGAAAGCACCAAATGTTTGCTGGGCTGAATTCTAGACTTTATGACAAAGTCATAAAATTGAAAAATATGAAGAAAGGAGATTCTTAAAGCCATTTTTGGTATGTACTCTCCAGATACTGGTGTAAACTCTATTCATTTCTCTAAGGGAAAAGAAAATCTGTCTAAATACTTACAATTTCAGAGGCTGTGAGTTAAAAAAAAAAAAGGTCTCCTGCATTAAGACCATAATTTCCAAAGTAGAGCACTGAGCCCACTGTGGACCACAAACATTTGCCAAGTGACATACTGCAAATTTAAACAAAATTTCAACACTTTTTATATGAGATAGAAATAAAGTAATATAAAATCTTATACTATAATCTAGAATGCCTAAGGGATTATTAAAATCTACAAAAACTTGCCATTTATAGAATTTAATCTTTCACTGGGAGGTTACTGAGCAGATATCAATGTTCTCTATAGAAATTTAAAAATTTATGAATGTACTACAATCCTAATAAAAATATCAATAAGCTTTTTTTGGAGCTAGACAGGTTGTTCATAGAGAAAAACAAACAATGCAAGAATATTCAGGAAGACAGTGCAAAAAAAAAGCTATGATGGAGGAATAGTCTTATAGATAAAATATATGACCAAACCTGCATCAGTTAATAAAATATACTACCAAGTTTGCATCAGTCATGCACAGATAGAAGGACTACTAGGAAACAACAGAAAATGTAGGGCTGGAGGTTTAGCTCAGTGGTGCCAGCGCCTGCCTGGCAAGCACAAGGTCCTGAGTTTGATCCCCAGTCCCCCCCCCGCCCAAAAGTAGAATAGACCCAAGTACATATGCAAATTTGATATATGGTAAACCAGGCGTCTCAAACCACTGTGGGCAGGACCTAGTAACTGATGATGACAGTCTCAAAGTGTCTTCCCCCCATATACTTAATAATTACAAAAGGAAAAGTTGTAACTTCATGTCATAGAAACTGAGGAGACACAACCTTCACCAAACAATCAAATTTAGTATCGCCAGAAATGGCACACCTAATTATGTGCCACCTAATTATGATGCACTGAAAGAGGTACATTAGTCCAGTAGCACTCCTGTCAAAATCAGAGTCTCAAGCTAATCTCATCAGAAAAACTCAAAATGAATAATTTATAAAAGTAACTGGCTATACTCTTCAAAAATGTCAAGGTCATGAAAGATAAAGACTGAAGAAATGATCCAGATTAAGGAGGACTGAAGAGACTCGACAATTGACCACAATATGTTATCATGGATTAAATCCTAGAATATAATGCATTTGTTTATCTTGTTATAAAGGTTATTAGTGGTAGTTGGCAAAATGTAGTTAATAGTATGAATCAGCTCATATCTATGTTAATTTCCTGATTTTGATTACTTGGTTATATAATAGTCTTCAATAAAACTGAGGTAATTAGGGTTAAAAAGACATCTGGTTTGTGACTTACTCTCACATGTTTAGGAAAAATGCATATACAGATACATACATATACAGAAAGACACAGAGAAAATAATAAAGCAAATATAGTAAAATCGACAGTTGGGGGCTCTAGGTGAAAAGTAAATAAGAATACTTTTACGTATTTTCTAGAAGGGTTAAATTATTTTAAAATATAATACATTTAGAGTTTATGAAAGACAACTGTGAATCCTAGTAGAGCTGGTTTTAGTTGAAATGATGTTGGATGTGACTAAGCTACATTAAAAAATAGAAGTAGATAATACAGAAACATAATCAGTTACCAATAACATATAAAAGGAAGAAATCTCATTGACATAATGTTAAGTGGAAGACAGAAACAAAGACTATATCAAATGATTACATTTCTAGGTAATCAGTATTTATTCATGTAATGCGGACTGATATAAAGTTAGGCAGAGGCACTCACTTAAAAGGGACATAAGAGCCTTTCTGTCATGCTAGAAATATTTTACATCATGATTTGGATGGTAATTACAAGGGGTGTATGTGTCCTAAATTCACTGAATTGTAATTAAGGTACAGGTACTTACAATAATCTGATAATAACACCAACAAAAATGGGACAGGTTGGTTGGCTCTATTAAAAGAAGTAGTAGTCAAAAATATTGAAAAGCAAAAAGAGATAAGAAAAAATAATTTAAATATCAAGCCAATTTGTTCTGGATCGGAAAGTTAATTACATAGCAAAGTTATTTAAGTTCAAAATATTAAGAAATTCAAATCGTGGAAAGGAAAAAATGAAAACAAAGCTTTTTTAAATGGGAAAGGGAAGAAGGGTTGAAGGGAGGGTAGAGAAATGGGGAAAAGAGAAAAATGAAGACACATTATATACACATACGTACAAATTCCCTATCATGAATGTGATCATTATGTATGGCAAATATGTACTAATAAAAATTTTTTTAAAAGTCAAATCAAAATTTGACTGCATTTTTAAAGGTGTTATATATACCTTAAATTTCTCCAGATTTCTAATTTCACCTAAAAGATGTTTTATTTCACCATTCTTCTGCTCCAACATGGCAAACAACCGTTCCTGCTGCTCAGATTCAGTCTGAGATCCTTTCATCTGTAGCAATGTGGAAATCTGCAGCTAGAACCCCCAACCCCAATAAAATTGCGTGAGATTGAGAAGCATTTTTCTGGTACAAGTCATATTTTATACTACATTATCTGAAACCAACTTTGGAAACTAAAATAATTAGCTATTTCTAGTCTAATTATTTGAAAACATAAGTATCAAGCTTTGTTGTAGATATAACCTTGAGTACTTATTTTGAATACTTAATAATGATATGTAGTTTTTGACATGATTATTTGTATTCGTGTAAAACAAAATTAAACTGCATAGCTGTGGTCTGGAATTATCTTATTTAACCAGTAAATAAGCCTGGTCAAAGATTGTCTATGATTCATCATTTCTACTGATACTTATTGAAGATCTGATGGGATTTCTCAAAATTACGTGGGGGAAATAAAGATACTTCTAGTCGCAAATGTCAGGTTCACAAGTGACAAGGATGGGAAGCACCATTTAAGTATTTTACTACTCTAACACTAGAAAAGTCTGAACCAGGTCCTATCACCTCTGCTTCTTAGATGAGATAACTGATGTTCTCAAAAGGTAAAATACATGCCCAAGGTCACACAGCTAGCAAATGACAGGTCTGTGGTTCAACCAAGTTCATCTGATTTGCAAGTTTAATCAGTGACCTTTCCCATTTCTTTGGTAAAATACCACCCTGAATAAAAAGAAAGAAGCTTTTCTAGTTTTCCAAATCCCACCTTGGGAGTATCAGGCACAAGAAATCAGAAATCAGGATTCTAAAGACTGGCAAATCACTGGAATCCTTACTGCTACAAGTGTTCCGTATTTGACATGAATAACGACCAACAAAATCTGTAAAATTCTGCTTACGTTTAGGAGCTTCAAAAAAAAAAGGAGACCTTGAATATTCTCAATTTCAGTCTAAAGTAAGTCTTCATGAGAGAAATAAGAAATGGTGAGAAAGCTGGTTTTAGTGGAAGCAGGAATCCTAGAGCTGTGGTCAAGAAGACATCAGGCTAAAGCTAAGAAACAAACTTTTAAATTATTTTTTTTCTCCACCCACAAAGAAAGATTTATACTTCCCTAGGAAGGTTAGTGAGTAACTGTTAAAACAATCAGTAGTTACTAAATATACTATTTTTCCAAGATTGTTTTTTTAAAAACATAAAGGGATCTTTTGATTTTAAAAATAGTGATTTAAAAAAAAAATGCAGTTCCAGAAGTAATTATCTAAGTATATGCCTTGAAGGAAAAGATGCTTTCATTGATATACATCTGTACATGTAATGCTAATACTGTATAAAGTAGATTTGGTAAACTTTTAATAGTGATAGTTCTATACCTTCATTCTTTGCATCTGTTCTCTATTAAATGCATTCTGCTTCTTTAGTGACTGATACTTGACCTTCATACTTATAAGCTGGCGTTCCATTGCTGCCCTTCGATCTTCCACCTGAAAAGGAACATGTTTAATTGTTTTCACAGTAGATGAAACATCAACTTAATCAATTCAGCCATTAGAACACTTGTAAGTACCTCTGCAAACAAAGAGTTGCCTTTGCTATTGGGATCCAAGGCTTGCTGGAGTGCCTGATTCAGCTGGACCTGAAGATCTTGATTTTCTACACGAGCTTTCTAAATTCAAAGAAAATAATTTCGCTAACAGAGATTAGATAAGCAAGAAAGCTTACTTGATTATGAAGTGGAGACATGATATTACTGTAATCATAATACCTCTAAGGCATTATAGTAAGAAACTGCTTCTTTCTCCCGCTCTTCTTTCTCTCCTTTAAGCCGGTCTACCTGGTGCATTAAGTTATTGCTAAGACTTTCAAGTTGTTCTTGTCTGTACTGTAGTTCATTAACTTCTTCTTTGAGGGTGGTCTAGTCAACAGAAATTGAAAAAGAGAAAATTCTCTTCAATAATCTTTCATTTAGCAGTTTCTCAGTTTATTTTAGTGGTGGCCAAACTAAAACCAAAGAAACTACTTAAAGGTTGTCAAATGCATGTTAAAATTTTTTAAAGTACTGAATTTTCCAGCAGGGAAAATAAAAGGCTCTAACAACCGACTTCCTTTCCTATGAATTTAATGCTTTAGTTTTTAATCACCCATAGCCTGAAATAAAAAAATCTACATTTGCATGAATTTAAACTTCCACTGTGCTCACATTTTGCATTGGGCTTTTATGACTCAAACCAGCATCCAAGTAAATGTCCCTAAATCCTTAATTAATCTAAAAGTAAAGTCTGTCTTGCATAATCATGCAACCAAAAACTATTTTATGAAGCAATCCATCTAAAAACTCCATAAAACATTTTTTGATTAGATCAAAGTTAGGTTAAAAACATTTTAGCCTTCAAACTAGCTCATAAGCATTATTACAAAAATGGAAAAATATGCAAAAGAAAACATATGCCATAAAAATTACCTTCATACTTTCCATTTCAGTCAGCTCGATCTGAAGAGCCAGCATCTCCGAAGACATGCTTTCATGTACACGCTCAGACATTATCCGTATTTCCTCTGACTTATGTGCCAGGAGTTCCTTCTGGTGATCTACTTTGCGCTTCAATTGCTTTTCACTAAGCCTAGCTTCATCTAACTCCACTTTCAGTTTTTCTAACTAAGGCAAAAAGAAAAATTCACAATCGTATAAATCAAAAGGTATTTTCTTTCTGAAAAACACTACTAAGTGTCCCAAACTTACTGTATGATGACTACTGGACTGTCCTATTTGGCCAAAGCTAGGCATCTTTTAACAGACAGGCACCCATTCTATGTTATAAACACAGAAATAATCCATACCAGTGATCAGAGGAAGCCTGGATCTTAGAAGCAACATGAAGGCAGTACTGCTGACCAATCAGGTGCTGTGTGAAGGATGTGGTAGTAGTGTAGGGGAGAGATGGTGTTTGGAGAGTGGCAGCAGTCTAGATCAAGATTATGAAGGTCAATTTGCTGATGTACTATATTTGAGAAATAAGATATTGACTAAAACTCCAAGTGTTCGACACAAGATGGTTGAGAACATCAGTGAGACTAAAAATTTTAATTGATTTAAATTTTTAGTTTTGTTGCTCTACCAACAAAAGCCATTTCTATAGCTGGCCTTGCCTTAGTCCCTGAATATTCTCTAGTAATGAAAGCTACTGCTAAGAGAAAAACAACATCCAGGGTGGGGGTGGGTGGGGAGAGACTACATCATCAGCAGTCATCAGTCTCTCAGATCAGGTTAGTTTCATACAAGCTGTTTACTGTCTGTCAGTCATGCGAGATGACTCTACTACACAAAAGTATGTTACGTTTGTTTTACTGCATATTTTTAAAAAATCAACTCTAACACCCAATTTCATTGATAGCACTACATAAAATGGGAAAACATTTAAAAAGAGTTAATTTAATGAAAAATTAGGTAACAGTATAGGTAGTATACAGACATGGAAAAATGTTAGAAGATGCTATGCAAAAAATTAAAGTTAGAAGACACACTTCTGAGAAAACAGGAAAAAAGTCAAGCAAAGACCTTTGTTAGAGGTCTAGAAAAGTCTGGACTTCACACAAAGAGAAGCCATTGTAAAAGATCTACAATCCTTAAAGCAATCTAAAGGCTCTGGGTAGTTGGGGGTGCTGAGAGGGAATGGGCAGTCCTTGAACGGTTGTTATCTGTTTTGTATTCATACTTGAAAGGGAGCCAGTACATACTGTGTATCGCTGGACTAAGCACAGAGACTCAGAAACGCAGGCTCTGCAGTCAGCCAGCCTCAATTCAAATTGTGACTGACAACTTCTAGCTCTCTTATTTTGTCGAGTTTATTCAATCTGTCTAAACACTGGCTTTCTCCTGTCCTACATAAAGACAATAATGGTACTTCCCTAAGTTATTGTGAGAATTGGGTCGTATGTTTTTCTTCAATAAACAAAGTACAAAATATTAATTCTAATGTACATCGATTTAAAAAGGAGCTACTAGTGTGTTCTGCAGAATTACAAAGCACATCACCAGCTACAGTAAAGAGTAGGGGATTAGTCTTTCTGCAAGGGGACTGACATACTGTGTACTCTAAAGGAGGCTATGGTGGTCCTTGAACCAACTTCACCACAAATACCCAGTTAACAAATTAAACAACTGTATATTATTGGAAGGCTATTATTAGGTAAACTCCTATTTCCTAGTGCTCCCATGCCCAATCTTAAGATAATAGAGAACTTAATCTTGGTTATTTTGCATAGATGCTGCTGAAGAAAATCTTCATCACCTAACATTCACAGGTAGCTACATAAATAGGGGATATTTTTGCTCTGAAACACGGATATCCAAACCTTATTTTTTAGTTCATTCATTTCTTGTCCATGGCTTCTATTCAACTGCTCTTCTAATTGCTCCAGCTGCACTTTCTGTTGTTGTTTAATAGCTTCACATTCACAGTTCAAACTTTCTAACATTCGACTCTTGAGTTCAACCTCTCTCTGAAGAGTATATTTTTCTTGTTCATAATTCTGAAAATAGATTCATTTACAATTCAATTACATAAAAACCACTTAAAGCCATCACATATAATCAGTTCTTACATATAATCAGTTCTTACATTCAACCATTTCATTCCTATTTCGTACACTTGCTGCTTTCCATTTAACAACCACATGTAAAATCTGGAAAAACTTCGTAGCTAATTAATATTAATGAAGCCCTAAGGTATACTCTGAGATCAGAGTAATCTCAAAACACTCAAGTTGAAGTGAGTCTAGGCTTGGTCCCAGAAAAGGCTCAAGTTTACCACTTTCCAATCATGGTCTCTGCTGTGCTAGCAGCCAGCAATGGGGTAGTGGGAAGCGTTTTCCGGATTCCAAAAACTGAAAACCTCATGTTGACCAGTACCATAAGGTTGCCTTTATAGGCTGCTGCTCTTGGCTGGAATATCAACTGGCATGGCAGCACATCTTATCTCATGCTGATCAAAAACTAGGCATTTGACTGAATACTAGGAAAATGAGCTACTTTTTAGTTAATAGGCTAGTTTTTAGTAAATAAGCTATTTTTCAGTTTAGTAAACAGAATCTTGTCAACTATGGAGTCCACTTAATAGAGATCAAGAAAAAGTAAAGGGACTTTCCATAGCAAAAGACCAGAAACACTGCCCTAGAGATAATAGTTTTACAGAGACATTCAACCTTTCATCCTCCCATCCACTCTCCAAATATTTAGTAAGAACCTAGCAAATATGCCAGGTGATAGAAGCTCGGTTATAGATAAAACATGGTGCCTGGCCTCAAGGAGAGCAGTCTACAGGAGCAAACAAACACATAATTCAACAATAAAATACCTCGAGGTAACTGGTACTAAGGATAAGACCAGAGTAGGTTTATAGAAGGAAGTGATTTTAAGGTAGCAGTGGGACAGGGGCCTAGATGTCACATGTTCTGATGCATAAAATATAACAGAATGAGTAAGTGTTTAAGAGGTCAGATTGGGTGTCTAAGCTTCAGCACAGGGTCAGATGTCATTTCCATCTTATCCAGAGGGGATACATTCTAAGACCCCTGTGGATGCCTGAAACCTCAGAAAATATCACACCCTATATATTCTATGATTTTTTTCTATATATACATATCTTTGACAAAGTTTAATTTTATATTAGACACAGTAAGAGACTAATAGCATTAACTAGTGATAGAACAATTACAATAATATGCTACAATAAGCTACATGAATGTGATCTCTTAAAATACTTATTATACTGTAGTCACCTTTCTTGTGGTGATGCATGCCCCTTAATTCCAGCACTCTGGGAGGCTGAAGCAGAAGGATGTCAAGTTAAGACCATGTAGGGCAATTTAGTGACTTAAGGAGACCACGTCTCAAAGTAAAACAATAAAGGGCTGGGGATGCAGCTCAGTATAAAAACTGGGTTCAATCCCTAGTACCACATAAAATGTCCACACTAGAGATATGGTAACTGCTTCTAAGCTCTGTGAAATAAATAAAAACTGCTCCATGGCATGTCAGTGTATCAAGTAATCTCTGCTAGTGGAGAAAATGAAAGAAAAAACATTTATTAGCACTTAAATTTTCCTAGTGAGCATTAGTGGTTTGATAGTGAAATGCTTAACTTATACCTCTGAAAAAAATGAATAGTGGAATAGATGAAAAAAAGAAATAGTGAATTAGGCTTTACTTTTAGACACAGTCATCTGAGAATGTTTACAAAGTGACTACCAGAATGATAAAGTGCTGAGACAAAAGTATTAAAAAGTTTTCACTTACAGGGACATTTAGAGATTAAAAAGGTATCAGTTCAAACTCCTTCACCAAGTTTTACAAAATAAGATAAAATAAAGTTCAATTAAATTAGAGAGAAAAGATCTAAAGCATACACATTTCCCGCAAAGCCTTTCTATTTTAAAAGAAGGCAGAAAGAACATTAATTGATATACACCTAACTCTGAAGAATTGTTTATTTATTTATTTTTGGTACCAGGGATCAAACTCGGGACCTTGCACTTGTGCGGCAGGAGCCGGAACCGCTGAGCTAAATCCCTGGCCCTGAAGAGTTTTTTATTAAAACAAGTGTAACATGTTTAATTTTCTACTGTGAGACTTGTCATCATTGCTTTTGTGACTTGGTATTGAGTGTTTGGTCAAGAGTGGCATTACATGGAAAAACAAATACTATCGTTATGTATACTTCCTATAATTACAATTCTGAGATTTAAGTTTAAATATACTACTGCATATTTACTACATTAAACAGATTTATTCATTTTTTAAAAACTATTTGTGTGCTAGGCATTAGGAATGCAGCAGTAAACAAGAAAAAAAAAAACCTCCACTTTTACGGAACTTATGATCCTGGAAATAATTAGCACTTCACAGAACTAACAGTGAATGATTAAAAACTTTATATTACATTGTCAGGGTGAGCCACTTTGCTAAGGCGATGTTTAACAGAAACCTGAGGGTTGAGAACTCAATCCATGAAGAATGGGGAAAAAATAATTCAATAGGAGGAAACAGCTAGTGTAATGCTCATAAATCAGGGCTAGTCTAATCAAGAATAAAGGAAAGTAGTTTGGCAGAAGCTAAGTCTAGGCAAAGCCAGGTATGGTGGTACAGGCCTGTAAGTCCAGCTAGTTTGGAGGTTGTCAAGGCCAGCTTGGGTAACTTAGCAAGACCCTGTCTCATCAACAACAAAAGGGCTTGGGATGCAGCCCAGTAGTAGAGCACTTGACTAGACAGGCCCTGGATTTGATTCCCAGCGTTGTTTAAAAAAAGAATTAAGCATAGGTCAAATTCCACATGGATCCACAAACTCAAATAAAGAGCTCGGATTTTGTTGTATATATAACTGAAGCCTTAAGGTTTTTAGCAAGGAGGTGACATGATCTTTTATGTAGTTTTCCAGGACAATTTGGCTTGGATACTAAGTTTACAATGAGTTGTATGAATGACAACAATGGAAGCAGGCAACCTGGTTAGAAGATGGCGGTATTGGTCTAGTAGAAAAATGATGGTGGTCTGGACTAGAATAGATGTAGCCTAGACAGATGTTCCATAGGTCAAATCTTTAGAATTTGTTGATTTGCAGAATTTGTAGATTTGTTAAATGTGAGATTCCTGGATTTTTTGGTTCAAGTAACCGGATGACTGCTACTCTATTTACTAAGGAAGTGAGGAAGGAATATTTGATTAGCGGAAAGGATTCCACTCTGTTTATGTCAAGTTGGAGATATCCACTAGCACAGCCGAACACCTAAATTTAGATTTGGGGGAGATTAAGGGATTGGGGCATTTAGAGCTCTGAATAAGAGAGGTCACCTAGGTGAATGTGGAGAAAACAAATCTGATAGTAAATGTGGTAAAGGGTGCAATCATAACTTCATTTTTCAAACACACTGAGTTGGAAATATTGAGAGTTCATTTAGTTCATTCTACTTTAATGGCGATAAGGTGGACAGGAATTAGATCTTCAAAAGAATAAAATAATAATTGCTAGACAAAAGCAAACCTTCAATAGCTAAGCATGTCTGTAAACAGAGGAATCCACAGTCCTACCTCAGTCATAGTCATCATTTCATTACGATATTTATCCAATTGATTCTGCAGCTCGTTCTGGCTCTCTAGCAGTTGTAAACCATACTGTGCAGCTGTTAATCGCTCTTTTTCAACCTCTTTAAGCTTGCTTCGAAGATCTGCAATTATATCTGCCTCCATGTTCTTTTCCTATTTTTAGCCTACTACAGAGAAAATACAATTTATGAGCTTACAGAAAAATTCCATGCAATTATATCAATAATAAAAGAAACATACATTCAACACTATAGCCATATAAAAACACAGCATTAAGTTTTTTCCCCTGACTCGTAAGTGTTGAAAATATTTCCATTCTAAGGGCAAGAACTGATCTGACCATTTTGTTCCTTAATTTGAGTTCAAATCAAAAAGAGTATATTTACTTTGCTTCTAAGAAATTCACCATTAGGAAACTATTTGGTCCTTGTGTGCTAAGTGTCTATGAATGCTAAGGTAGGGTTGGTCTCATAATTGTACCATTATGCACACAACTGAAAGTAAGGGAACAATGAAATAAATCAAGGCCACTACTTAGAGTATGAAAAGACAACTTTAAGCCTCACAAGGTAAATAAAGGAAGGAATATTACAACTAATTTTCACAAGTGTTGCTGTTCTGAAAAGACCCTCACTAGTATTTTCCTAGCTATTAAGAGGGCTTGTAAAATAGAAACCACATTCAAACCACTCAAAGGACCATGAGTTAAAACTTAAGCATTATATATAAGACCACTCTACCTTAACTCAAACTCACTCAGCTTCCTGTCTTATTTGACCCCTTTTCTCTTAAGCCAGGCTGAAACTCAGGTTTGCCTTCAAACAGCATCAGGCCATTACTATGGTATTTCCCCACATCTTAAGTCAATGAAGTTATGTATTCAAGTATTTCCTGAATGCCTTATCTGCTGGGCTCCATTCTGGGCATTTCAGATTCCTTAAAGAATACAATTGATAAAAATTTCCTCCTTCACATAACTTAACTTCCAGGAAGGGAAGACAAAGAGTAAGCAACATGTTCATGAAATATATTATAAAATGGAAATTAAAAAAAAAAAAACCAGAATAGGGTAAGGGAACTCAAAAGAAAAAATGGGTAGTTCAATCAGGAGGCAGAGGTGAGAGAATTAGCTATGTACTTTTTAAGGAGAAGAATGCTCCAGGGAGATGGGAAACTCTAAGGTAGAAAGAAAGCCTAAGAAGTAAACTAAAGTTTAGGTCAGAGATAAAAGGAGGGAGTAGTAACTGGGTGTGGTGGCCCACACCTGTAATCCTAGCACTAGGGAGGCTGAGGCAGGTGGATTGCTGCAAGTTTGACGCCAGCCTGGGCTACACAGTGAGTCCAAGGCCAGTCTGAACTACATAGCAAGACCCTGTCTCAAAAAAACAAAAAGGGAGGGGGGCAGGGGCAGTGGGCAGATCAGACACTGTAAGCAATGCATGGCTTCTACTTTGTGTAAAATAGAAAGTCATTCCAAAATCTGGAGGAGAGGATCTGATGAAATTTAAAAGGATTTCCCTGCTGTGCAGAACAGTTAGGAGGAAACACAACTGGAAGCAGAAAGACCATATGAGACAATTCCTCAGATCAGGCGGGTAGTAGACAGGAAGAAATGGCCAGATTCTGCACATACTTTTATGATTTCAGAAGGAATGTGTCACGTGTGAGAAAGGAGTTTAAAATGCCTGCAAAACTTCTGGCCTGAGCAATCAGTAGAATGGAGTTGCCCTCAGTTGAGGCATTTATGTAAAGAATATTTTAGGGGGAAAAAAAATCAGAAATTCATGTTCTGGGCAGGAAAGATCAAGTAGGCAGTTAAAGTATGAGGAGAGAGGTCTAGGGTACAGCTGTAAATTTCAAAGTTATCAGCATAAGTCCTTTAGCCTTGGTATCACCAGAGGATGGGTATAATTAAAGAGAAAAGGAAGAAGAATTGAGCCCTGTTTGGAGATGGGAATGAAGACAGCAAAATATGCTCAGGAGTTACCAGTAAAGGAGGAGGAAAATTATGAGTATGTGTTGTTTTGGAGGCCAGTGAACAAAGTTTAAGAAGGTAAGAGTGATCAATCATCCCAAATGCTCCTGCTAAGTCAAATTAGGTCAGAACTAAGAACTGCCCAATGGACTTGAATATAGGGAGTCCATTTGTCACTTCAAGAGTGGTTTTGATGGAAGGTGGGATGAAGCATGTCTGGAATCTGTTTGAGAGAGAATGGCAAGAGACAAAAGGGATAGCAAATATAGTTTAGCTGCAAAGATCAGATAAATGTAGTTGTTAGAAAAGTAGAGGCAGGTTTTTCTTTTTTAATTTTTAAGATGGAAAAATAATAGTATGTTTGTATCCTGTGAGATAAATACAAAAGAAAAGCTGATAATGTAGGAGACTCTTGAGAATTGAAAGTGATAACCCTGATTAAAGATAATGAAATCTAATGTACAGGGAGTGGAGCATGGGTATTTCATCCAAAGTAAGGAAAAACAAAGCATACAAGTAAAAATGCTGATAACTAGGTAGAGTGTGGAAAAATGTTTAAGTGATTGTCTAAAAGTTTCAACTTATTACTGAATTAGGAGGCAGTCTTTTACTGGGAACAAACATGAGGGAGGAGATACAGGGATTTAGGAGAGGGAAAAAAAGATACCACAGTTTATCACGGGCTTGTGTTTACTGCTTTAAAACACAAGACTAAAATTTTCCTTAAAGCCTGTGCACTACAGAGCCAACCAATTGTTTTACTTATGAGTGTTCACCACTTGCCAAGCCAAGTGCTTCAAATACATTACCTCATTTAATTCTCTTGATAATCCTAAATTAAAAGAATACCACAATTGCCATCTACCAAAGCAAAAGTGGAGTTAACCTGAAGGCATACCACTGGGGAATATGTAAGAAAAAAACAAGTATTAGTTCTTATTCACTCAGAAGATTTACTTGAAGACACTGTGCTGGTGCTGAAGAAATCACAGTGACTCAAACACTAGGCAGTATCACTGCCTTCCTGAATCTTAGTCTATTAATAGAAAGGCATTACATCAAATAACTGACCTGTAAAGTTACAAGTGTGAAAAGAGCAAAAGGGAGAGATGCATGGTGCTACCTGAGCCTATAAAACGGGGGAAAATGTCCTAATCTAGTAGAGTTAGAGGGTGGGGCACAGTAGGAAAGAACATGGGCAAGAGGGATTTCCTTGAAGAAGTGACTTTTTATCAGAGGTCTAAAGGATGAGAAAGAGTGACTCTATCAACCTGCAAAGAGAGGTAGCCATGGCTGAACAAAGAGCAGAGTAATTAATATGTGCCATACACTGAGCACAGAGCTCTGCATACATAATGTTACGCAATCCTCTCACCAATCTTATAAGGTAGAAAGTATTTCCCCCACTTTAATATGTGCAATCTTAATGAGGTACAGCAAGATTGAATAACATGCCCAAGCTTATCAGCTACTAAGAAGCCAAATGAGGTGGAACCATAGTCTAGCGCCACAGCCTAGTGCTCTAACCACTTTTTTGTCCTTCCTCTCAAAGCACAGTATATATAAAGCCTATAAAAGACAGGAAGCTCTGGGAATCAATCTGCCTGAGTTCTTATCCTACCTCCACCACTCACTGGCTGCATGAATTTTAACAAGTTATTTAACGGTTTGTTTCATCACCTTTAAAGCAAGGAGGGCAACAACATCTAATAGGGTTGTGAATAGTAAAGCTGATAATGGCTGCAAAGTACTGTACCTAGGCCAGAATCTGACACAGGAGTGAGACAGCTGTGTTCAACAGAAATATAACGCAGTCACGTAAGTAATTTATAATTTCCTAGGAGTCACAGTAAACGAAATAAACACATGAAAAAGAAAGTATTTAACCCTAATGCATTCAAAATATTATGTCAATCCGTAATATTACAAAAAATGAGACACTACGTTTTAGATACTGTCTTTAAATCCAGTTTGAATTTTATATTTGCAGTATTTAATTCGGGCTGCCAGTCCCCAGGGGCCACCGCAGACCCAGGGGTCATCATTCCGCGGCGGCCCAATCAATCGACTGTATTTATCCAGAATGCCGGAAGGCAGCCAGGAGGTCCATCGCAAGACCGAAGCCGGCACGGAAGCCAATTTATAAGAACGCAGGGTTCCGGAAGGGTAAGTTCCGACTAAGGATCCACTGAGACCCAGGCCTGAGGTTTCCTTAGGCCCTGCTCACTCCCGCCCTCGTCCACCCATGCTGTCCACAACCACCCCACCAGGCCTTTAGCCCTCACCTCTCTCCTCACTCTTTCCTCTAGCTGCAGCAGCCTGTGGCTTCAGGTGAGCGCTGCTCCGGATGCCCAGATTCGCTAATCCTACCGCACCAAAGAAACACCCTCCCATTCATTCCGCGAGTCTCCGGAAAGCGCCAGGGATTTTTGAATGCAGTTCCCGCGATAACTAGCACTTATCACAAGACACTGCGCCCGCCCGAAACCCGCCTACAGAGTGTTCCGCCTACTACAGCGAATGCGCATGTGCCAGTAGCGAGCCTTAGGTTTCGCGCAGGCGCAAATCTGGTCGCCTGGGTAGGCTAGTTTATAGAGGCTTGTTTTTCTTGGACGTTTTCTAGTTGCTGAGTGTGGTTTGGGATTTTGTTTGTTGTTTACGACAGGACTTTCTGGAGGAACAGTGTCACTAGGTCAGAGAGTACAGAATCACCATGAATCGGTGCCACGGTAGCAGCCTTGTCCACCCTGCGAGAAGATTGGCTGGCGTGTTCTCTGAAGGCCCTTCTCTCAGGTCTTAGGGTTCCAGGAACCCAAATCAGTGACATTGCCTAAAAACCTTGTAAGTCAGGATCCCAGTTACCGTTATGGGACAAGATGACAGTTATTATGGCATTTTCTGTGTGTGCCTTGTACTAGTACAGTGCTTAGTTTTACACAGATCATCTTGTTTAAGTCCCAAAAGCTCTCAGAGGTGGACATCAGGACCCCTCATTTTCTACAGAGGAAAATAAAACCCCAAGAAGAAAAGTGACGTGTCCTAGTGATAAGTATAGAATTTGAGTGAATGTAGTCTGACTCTAGAGTCCAAACTCTTGAGTGCATGTATGTTTAACTTGTAAACCCGATGATTTTCATTATTCAAAAACTTAAGCAATCAGAGAGAGCAATAGCTGACCAGTTAGTGACCATAACCGAGCCCGATCTAGTGATGTGGATCCTGTTCTGTGTCCATCTTTGCATGCCTGACTTGGCGCTAGCTCCTTTCTTGTTCATTATCAGTTTTTTCTTCTCTGTTGGATCTTCCTTAAGAACAGATAAACGTAGTATAATGACTTCTACTGAAAAAAATAATAACTTCTCTGACGCCAATCAGCCACGACTCCATTTGTTTGTTTCAATTTATAACAAAATAACTGGAGGAAATGCACTCACTGTCTCCATTTTCTTACCTTTATCCTCCCTCCCCCACTTCAAATGAGGTTTAGTCCCAACCAATACAGTGAAACGGTTCTTGTCAAGGTCACCACCGATTTATTTTGTTGTTGTTGCTGCTGAGGATTGAACTAAGAGCCATGCCCACACTAAGTATGTGGTTTCCCGCTGAACTACATCAGTGATTTTTATCTTGCAAAATCCTCTAGTCAATATTTAGTCCTCTCTTCTGACATTTGCAGTGTTGATAATAACTTTCACTGAGTTTTTAGTTTATGTCTAGGGATGCCACACTCTTCTTGATTTCTTCGTTTCCTTTGCTGATTTTTATTTCTTATAATGGTAAACCAGATTGTAAAGGATTTATCTGGTTTTTAAAATAAGCAACAGTGATGCCTTCAAGCAGATGCATCTGGGGTTGAAATGAGTTCAATATTCATTCATTTGTAATCACCTCCATGCTTTCAGGTAAATAAAGCAAATTCCATTTTTCCTATCATTTAGCTATCATTCCTCAATTCAGGACTCAGACATCTAATCTACCCCAGTTATGACCAGCTGAAATTAGGTCATCTAAAATCTTTCTGAGTTTTTTTCTCCTTTGTCACTAGAGAAAGGAAAATCCTACATTATCATTCACGTGTCTTCCAATTCTATTTTTGTAGAATACCACCTTTTTATTAGTATGTATTTGTGATACATAATAATTGTATTCATCTTGGAGAATTGGTACATATACATATCACATTTTGGTCATTTTTATTACCTCCCCCAACTATCTTCCTCTCATTCTCCTTTCACAGACCCTTTCTTCATCTCCACGGGACCTACCTCCCTTTTTCCTACATTTTCTTCTTTATTTTGTTCTTTATATTATTATATTTTGGGTCCATCAGAGAATTCATGTAAATTTCTGTGTCTGATTTATTTCACTTAGTATTGTGGTCTCAAGGTCCATCTCTTCATACATATATATAGCATTGTGATTGCAATGGGCTAGGCATAGTGGAAGGAATTTCAGGGTGTGATCAACTGTACTATCTGTAAGATGTTCCAGCATTAGTAGATGACTTTTAAGAACAAATGTATATAACTACAGGATATATAAAAATACCCTCTGGGCAGTATAAGCCTACACTAAAGGAGTTCTATGAAGGAAGAAGTCTGTTTTGTCTGGATATTCATCTAGAACTTGACAGATCAGGTAGCCACTTTAAGTAGAGCTTTGAAGGATGGCAGTGTTAAGGGGGTGGACATTAAGAGGAGAGGACAGCATTAACAAAGTCATAGAAGATACCCATATCATGATTGGTGAATAAGATTTGGAGAGGGTCATTAATTTGTGCTGGGTTCCTTTACTGGGCCCAATAAACCAGCCCAATATGAAATAACTCATGCTAAATACCAAACAAATAGCTGATCCTTAGTCAATTTCTGCAGCTGCAGCAATTGTAGATGGCCAGCTGATTCAAATCAGGCAAGATGCTGAGCTACAATCTATCAAGCTATCTCTGCCTTGGGTTTTTTTTTTTTTCTATCCATAACTACTGCCTGATCATTTTCTAGCAGAACTCTGTAAATCTCTTCTGGTTCTGAGGGCTGATTTAAGAATCAAAAGTCAATTCCAATTAAGATCTTTAAGTTTGTTGTAATTGTCTTTTTGACATCAGTAAGCTCATTCTTTAGGAATAGTCTGGATACAGTGCTTTTGGTACTATCACTAAACACTAGATGTCACAAATGAAATAAATTCTAGAGTATTTCTTCCTCTTAGGTTAACATATCCTTTTCATTCACAGTTCCAGATGTAGATCCCCATCACCAGATGATGTCCATATACCATACCCTAAATATCAAAAGGTGAAAAGAGCAAAACAAAACCCACCTTACACCTGTCATTTTGAATTTACATAATGAGAGATGGGGCAATACCACCTCACACAATAGTGGATTCATCAGGCATGGGGAAGGATTCTGGATATTGAGAAATAACAAAAAATCTACTATGACCCCCATTATAATTTCAAATACTGTAGCATTTCGAAACTGGGATACATTGCTGTAGTAAACTTGTCATCTTTCCTTCGTTGTGACTGTTTTAGTCCATTTAGTTAAGAGAAATGGTGCAGAAAAGAGTGTTGCATTGAAATTAAATGCTGCATTTATTTTGACATAGACTTATTTAATAGTTATTTTTGGTACTAGTCATGAAGACTCTCTGTAAGCAAGGAGCTTAGAGTTTAGTAGAAGAGGCATTTACATTCTTACTTAGAGGATGGCCTAGATTTTCTTTTTCCTTCACATTTAGTAGAGTTGTAAGCTAGTCTTTGTTGGGCTCTAGCAAAAACAAATTCAGGACATTGATACACAAAGTCTGGAAACAAGAACTGGATCAATTAATAAAGTCCCATGGTTTACATGACATGCTAGGAGATGAAGTTCTGAAAATTACACTGGAAGTTGAGGTCATTACATCTTGTGCAATGTCTGAGATAGAGAAGAAACTTAGGAAGAGAGAAGAGATTCAGAATTTTAAATTGGCCTAATCTATGGAATAGTAGGAGAATAGGTCCCTTTGACAAGAAAAACAAAACAGCCATCTGAGAAGAGACAAGGAAACTGATTCGTCACAACTTCCGCTGTGGTGTTTAGATATCAGAATGAATAATTATACCAAACAGGAAGATTTGACTGCCTAATAGTAATAATGATAATGAACCTAGTCTGTAGTCTCTCTTGGATCTGCAATGTATAGCACCACCTTTAACTTTTAATGAAACCTATTACTATACTATTTTTCTCTCTATATAGATGAACTCCTCACCCAGAGCAAAGGTGTACCATCCTAGTATGGTAAACATTTATTGATTACTTTCCCAGCATCAATGTCTTCCTTTTTTCTTGCCAAAAGCATTATATTATTATTTGAATAATCCGTCTTTCTTTCCATTTTCAGCTACATGGAGTCTTCACAATTGATTCTACTCTTCAGCTGGAGGAGACTGACATCTTGGCTACAGTACTTGGTTTGAAAATGAGTATGTGATTGATTCCAAAACAATGAGATTTTTCACTGTGACTGCTGGAAAACTGGATTTTGTTAATTCCCTCTGTTATGGACCAAACTGTATCCTTCCATATTGAAATATGAAGCCCCAAGTCCCTAACTATGATTGTATTTGGAGACTGGGCCTATGTGATAGTTAAGGTGGATTGTCAGCTTGATTGATTTGGGAGCCACCCAGGGGATTATAAAGCACACTTCTGGATGTGTCTGTGTGTGTTATGGCTTGTGTTTAGATGTCCTCCCAAAGCCTCATGAGAATGAGGTGGGGCTTCCTCTTCAGAGGTAGCTGAATTTAGAGTGTGTGATTGATTCATGCTGTAGTGCTAGGCCCAAGGGTGTGAGTGCTACGCACCCTAAGTAGTCTGAATAAGATAAAAGGGTCAGGAAGACATGTGTTAGTTCCCTTGTTGTTTTTGCTACCGTGAATTGTTTCTCCTCTACAACGCCCTTCTACCTTGTGATATTCTGCCTCAGAGCCAGCCAATGATGGACTGAAACCTTCTACAATCTGTGAGCTAAATAAACGCTTTCCCCTTTAACTTTGGGTGCTGAGTATTTTGTCTTAGCAATGAGAAAAAGTAAGACAGTGTTAGTCATGGAGGTGTGACCTTGGGGTCTATATCAAGTGTGGTTCTTTGCCCCTTCCTCTCTGGCTCTATTCCTCTGCTCTGCTTCTTGGTTTCCACAAACTAAGCAGCTTCGCTCTATTGTCCCTGTCTGCCATGATGTTTCTGCCTTGGAGCCAGCCAATTATGAACTGAATCCCCTGAGGTTGTAAGCCAGATTAAATCTCTCTTTAAGTTATGAATGTCAGGTACTATCAATGGGACAGCTGAACAATACAGCCTTTAAGGTTAAATGTAATCATAAGTGTGGACCCCTAATTGATAAGATGGTGTCCTTATAATAAGAGGAAGAGACACAAAATATCAGTTTCTCTTTCCCTTCCTTCTTCCCTTTCCTCTCTCTCTCCCTACATACACACAAAGGAAGACTAAGAGAGGACATAGTAGAAAGGGAAGGCAGATGTCTGCAACAAAAGGAGAGAGACCTCCCCAGAAAATAATCCTGATGATACCTGATCTTGGACTTCCAGTCTCCAGAACTGTGAGAAAATAAATACAATATGTTGTTAAGCCACCCAGTTTGATATTTTATTATGGTTGCCTGAACAGACTAATGTACTCCCAGTAGTTAAATTTTGTAGGCCAGAGCCTCCAGCTCTCATCTTGGGTTTATGAAGGAAAAGTCGGCTTGAGAATGGAATCAAAAGCAATGATAACAAATAGGGAGGGAGAAGAGAGTCCTGATCATCACACTTGACCCAGCATTCAGCCTCTTGTGATGCTAGCGATACTCTCACGCTGTTTAGTTTCTGTTCAAACACTTTTGATATGTGGTTTCTGGGGCTTGCACCATAAAGAGTTCTAACCAATATACTCAATAATATTTGTGTCTGAGTTTGCGTGGACTAAATCTGTCAAGTTCCCATTCTACCTTTAAGATTATAAGCCTAACACTGAAAGTTGCTCACTTTCAGAGATAGGATGACTTCTTTGAGAAAAAAATGCCTTGGCTGAATGAAAAAGTTTATCCTAAATGAAGAACCCTAGTGAATATTGGAGGAAAATAAGGGTTTAAATAGCTTAGTATGTAATCTCTTTCTGGACCCTGTTTTAGATTACCCCCCATGAAAACTTTAAATTTATTTTTTTCAGGTAATTTTATCATTTAAACCAGTTATAATTAGCACTATATTCTTATATAAGTTATGGTTTTTACTTGCCAAGAACTGTACTCACTCTTGTTAAAGATATGTATGTATACAAAAACAATAGAATGTTAATTTTAGCAACTATTTACAAGATTTCAGTTATTACTTATGACCTCCTATTTTTCAGCACCCATTGCATATTCCTTTTATTTTTTGACAGTACTACAACTAATTGGGGCTGTTTATCCAGTAGAGTGACCCAAATCTTCACTGTTGAATAAAACATATTCACTAGTTATGCATTATATCAATTCCTATTCTGTTGGCTTACGTTTATTTAATTCAAGTCATAGAAGGATGGAATACAACTTAAGGTCTTAAGTCTTAGGGTCTCTTTGAGGGCTTGTCACTGTGTGTGTGTGTGTGTGTGTGTGTGTGTAATTCAGTCAAAAATAGGTAGTGGCTACTTTGATGTCTTAATGCTTAGCTTTTTTTCTTTATTTCTAGGAAAACAATTTGAGAATACACGTAATAGACAGGGAAAGGGATAAGTCATCATCCCCAGGTAAGCAGCTAATATATCTGTTCAATAATTCAGCTCATAAACTACATCTTGCCTGTTGCCACTAGGTGACAGTCTTTACTAATATTTTATATGAAGGGACCATCTTTTTTTTGACACAGAAGTTAGATTCTGTTGGGAGAGGTGATTACTCGTTACATTTAGATTGGCCCAGCGGTGGTGAACCTACAGTACATGTGCTACAGTGGATGTTTTGTATCATTGAAAGCTCTAAGGGGTTCGCCATCTCTGGATTATCCAAATGCGTATATTTTTCATAACCAGCATTCTTTGTCATCTGAGATCATAGTTATTCCTTATCAGGAATACTCTTACTCTTTCTCTACTTACTTCACTTCTCTCATCCTTTTCTCTGTAGAGAGTCTATGACTAATGGCTTTGAATGTAATATATAAACTTGCCACGTTGGCACATGCCCGTAATCCCAGATGCTCATCAGGTTGTGGCAGCAGTATCATACATTCAAGGCCAGTCTGCTCAGTTTAGTGACACACCGTCTCGAAATAAAGGGACTTGGGGATACAGCTAAAAGTTAAAGCATTTGCCTAGCAGCATGAACAAGGCCCTGGGTTAAATCCCCAGTACCACAATACATACATACTGTTATGGTTTGTGTTTAGATGTCCCATCAAAGCTTCATGAGGATGAAGTGGGGCTTTCTTTTCCAGAGGTGGCTGAATCTGGAATGTGTGATGCTGGGATTAAGGACGTGTGATTACTAAACCACTACATGTGAGTGATTGGTTTGGCATCGCTCTAATCCCAGTAGTCTGGATGGGATAAAAGGGACAGAGAGATGCTGTTAAGGTCCTTGTTGCTTTTGCTACTATGTGGGCACCATGAACTGTTTCTCCTGTGCAACACCCCTCTGCCATGTGCCATCCTGCCTTGGAGCCAGCTGATTATGAACTGAAACCTCTACAAACTGTGAGCTAAATAAACACTTTCCCCCTCATCTTTGAGTGTCAGATATTTTGTCTCAATAACAAGAGAAAAGTAGCTAACACACATACACACATACACACATACACGCATACATACATACATGCTCTGGGCTCGTCATCTGGGTTAAACTGCAGGACCTGTTACTTCCTAACTGTGGTTACTTTTAACCAGCTAATTGGGCTTTCTAAGCCTCAGTTTCCCTGTGTAGAAATGGGATAATGAAGGTAGCCAATTTAATCAAGAGTGATGAGGTTTAAATGAGCTTTTAAGGGACTTTTAGCATAATGTCAGGTAAATGTTATTTGTTAGAATTAAGAGCATTTTCTCACCAATAATGCCACTCACACTGACCACTTTCTGGAGTTGTTAGCCTAGGGCTTGTTCCCTGCATGCAGTTCACTCCACACTGTGCTTTTCCTTCTTAATACTTATAATAGATGGCAGTAATTTATGTCTGCCTTCCTCACTAAACTGTAAGCTCTTTGAAGATGAAGGCCTATGTCTGTCTTGCCTTCTGCATTTTCTCCCAGAAAGTGCCATAGAACCTGGAACATGCTAGGGCTTAAAGTTAAATTTGAAGAATTAATTTTAAAAGCACATTCAAATCCTTATTACTAAATGCAGTTCATTGATTTAAATTATGAATGTATAAACTGTCAGATCTGAGAGGTCAAAGTAACTTGTAAGAAAATTATTATTCTTAATTTTTCAATCAGTCTATATGGGATAAATGGTCCCTGGGACCATACACTGAATGAGTATTCTGGGGTATTTCATATACTCTGTGATTTTAATCACTTTATTCACCTATGAAAATATAGGTGCTCCTCACTTGAAATAATATTTTTTCATTGAGAATTTAGGTATTGGTGTTATATTTGCAACTCAAGCATTTTATTGTATTATTTTAATTTTTTGGCAGTGTAACCCACAGCCTCACAATTGCTCTACCACTGTACTGCTAGACCTTTACCCCCCATCAACATTTAAGGTATGGGCTGGGGATTTAGCTCAGTGGTTTTGCTGCCTGCTGTGCAAGCCCAAGGACCCGAGTTCGATCCCCGGTACCCAAAAAAAAAAAAAAAAATTTAAGATGTACTAGAGAACTTGGTATGAAAAACAGCTCAACTAGAAAGGCCTATAAAGCAAGGAATCCTTGGCTAAAGTAAATCACTTTGTGTAAATACTGAATTTTGCATAGTAAGTATTCTTAAAGGAAGAGCTACACTGGATGAACACAGACTTTTAAAACTCATGCTTTTCTCATATTTAACCAGGTCACAGATAGCTTTATCTATATCCTGCAAAATAATGTTGCCCTATTCATTTTCCCAGCTAGAAAATAGTTTATAATTTCAATAATCCTTAAAGTTCCTTAGTTATGAAGTGACTAACTTCATATCTATGAAGAAGATCCAAAATCATGGTCATGAGAAATGTTAGAAAAATATTAATTCATTTATAAAAAATAATTTTATGTTTCCAAAGCTTTCTCAAAGGATGAGATGTGAGAAAGTGTTTTTTGCAAGCTTGACATACCCTATGCAGACAGTCAAAGCTCCATTTCTTTTTACCATGGTGGTAAAACTTTAGGCAGTCCTGTTCATAGATGTGCTCCTTTCTTTGTACTTACTACTCTTCACTGCTTCTGCTCAGTTCTCTGTTGCCTGACAGGATGTTAGGACCCAGGCTTTTTCCACAAATGAATTCCATCAACCCACCCACAATATACTTCATGCCGCTGGCGCATTTAGCCACTTTTGATATATTGGCCAGTCTTGTGAAATACTTCCCAAAATGAAGTTCTGGAACTCATCAGGTGTCTTCTCTGACAGTCATATCTTCCTCTGGCTCGCAGATTTCCCAAACAGCTGGGATGAAGCCCATATCCTCCCACAAAACATGCTTCTTTCGAAATTCAGATCTATGGGCTTTGGCACTAAAGTAGTATTCTTTCATTCTCACAGACTGTGTTAGATCAGGGCTGAATAATCTCTTAGGGGTGAGTAACCTTTGAGATGTTGGAGGACGAACAGTTCCAAGGATCAGTGTGCATTATATTCTGTCTTCTTGTGAATCTAAAGTCTAAAGGTTGGCATTACCTCTTCCCCTCATGTCAATCAACTTGTGCATGCAGCAATCTCTATATAAGAACAGAGTATGCCTTCTGAGTTACATTAGTGTACAATTATTGTTATTATTAAATAGTCGTGGGTTGCTTAACAACCAGGACACATTTTGAGAGATACATCTTTAAGTGATGTTTGTGATTGTGTGGACACCACAGAGTATACTTAGCCCAACCTAGATGGTCTAGGTCATTCACTGTATATGACCTCTTAATGCAAAAGGATGGATGATGCCACTGACAGCCTAACATTGCATACTACTTCACAGTATCTAAAAGGCTCCCATTCTGATCCAATTTTTATAAGTAGGACTACACTCTAAAATTACAACAGAAAGTATAGCATAGTAAATATATAAATCAGTAATGTGGTCATTTATTATTATCAAATATTATGCACTGTACATAATTATATGTGTAATATTTTTATATAACTGGCAGAGCAGTAGGTTTATCTATACCAGTGTCTCCGCAAACATGAGTAATGTGTGACACTGTGATCTTATGATCATTTTTGACGTCACATGGTGATGAGATTTTTTTTCCTCTTCCTCATAATCTTATGGGAATATTACCATAGTGTCCTCATCCATCATTGACCAAAGCAATGTTATGTAGCCCATGACAATGTATGATCGACATAGAGTTATGGAAAGGTCTTATATGACTGTCATTCTCTTATCTACAGAAGTCCTGCAAAGAGATTAATACACGTTAAACAGAGCCAGAGTAATATCTTTGAAAACAATATCCCATTCATAAGGTTTACATCTCCAAGCCAACATGGGGCAATTAGGTTTAAAAAGTAACAACTAATTTATTTTACAATATGTTTGAAAGATCAGATTTCATTCCTGCGCCAACAAAAGTAATTGGTGCTTCTCTCATCCTTAGAAGAGTGATTTCCAGACCTTGTTCTACTTTAGAAACACCTGAGGAGTGTTTACAAATCCTGATGACTCTGCTGTATCCAGCACTAATTAAATCAGAATGTCTGAGTCTGGGGGTTAGGCATCAGTAATTATTTCAAAACTCCAGGTAAAGTCAATGTGCAGAGGAGTTAGGGAACCTTGAGTTCAGCTAATGATACACTCTCCGCCTCACTGTGGATCTTCTTTGCCTCTGTAGTTTACTACTTCTCAGCCTGGCTGCTCATTAGAAAAATGCAGCAGCTTAAAAAGCTCCCATTCGGATCCATTAAGTCTGTTGTAAGCATCCAAATTATTTAGCTGTCCTCTGAGTTACTCTAATGTGAAGCCATGGCAAAGAATCACTGGACCAGCTGATCGTACAAAGAGGTAGGATAATGTGAGTCCCTTAGCTTTTTTTCCTCTAGCAATTAAGAACTTTATACATTGTTAAAATTCCTATTCATTGGCTTTGTTAAATTTTTCTTTTTTGTTCACTAGTTGGCTTTAAAGTCCAACTATTTTCCTCAATCTGTTGGTAGTAGTGTTGCCCAGTGAAATACAGGATACTCAGTTAAATTTGATGTCAGCTAAATGAGGGTTTTTGTTTTGTTTTTAGTTATAAGTGTCTCCATGAAATATTTGGAATGATTAAAATTTTTTTATTGCTTATCTGGGACTTGAATTTATCTGGAACCTTGTATTTTTATTTGTTCTGTCTGGCAACACTAAATCCTTTATCCTTGGGACAATCAGTAGTTGAATCTGCACCAGGAAAGCACCATCCATTAATATCAGGGCCTGGGACTGGTCTTTTAGCTCTTTCCCCTGCCAGTTGCAATGGTGGTCGACAAACAGGCAGGGCTTGCTCATGGTTAGAGCTGTATCTATCATGCATGAAGCTCTGGGTTCATTCTGCAACACACACAAACACACGTGCACATACACACACACAATGTGCCAGTGAGCTAAGAAGACCCACACTTTTCTTTGGCTAAGGGTGTCATTGTGAGACCAGCAGGAGAAAAGGTGTCCCTGTGAGTAGACAGGATACTGAAAGAGACTCTAGGAGGCTTTAGTTCTAGGAACCTCA